CTTTTTTCCTGTGAACAGGTTCTGTTTTGATTTTTCTTTCACCTGACCCAAAATAACCTGTTGCTGTCATCATATATATGTATTTACATGTATGAACTCATAGCCTCCTTACTGTGTTGTGAGTAAACAAGATATAATTAGTATTTTATTGTTGTTATTAAACATCGATGATGCCTTTTCTCCTAGAAGCTCCAAGCATTTTAAAGTTTACAGGCATTAGTCTAAAGAACACCCTTGTGAAGTAATAGAAAAAAAAAACTTGTCAGACCACTCAGAAGAGTGGGGAGGAATAATCCAGCGAAAAAGAGTGTGAATACAGGTTCAGACAATGTGTTTATTCATAGATTAGGAAAAGTACTATATTGTCTTAATTTTCTGCTTGGGGAATATAGGAGCATGATAATTTGTTCTTATAGTTTGGTAGGCATGTGGGTACATGTTCTGTTAGTCAAGCATCCTTACTCACACCTAATGTGCTTTGAATATACCTACCTGATAGGAAACATTCTTCCTTAGCTGGCATTTAAGGCTCTTCACAAGCACCTTACTTCTCCCCATCCCTTCATCTCATTAGCACCTTGCCTCTGAGTTTTCATATGTAACATTTCCCATGCCTTGAACACCTACTTGTTACCTCTGTTTTGAGTTGTTCAAAAGAGTGGGCTGTCTCAGAGGTTGAAGGACAGGGGAGAAGGTCTTCTCCTTGGTGACCTTTAGGCAGAAGCTGGCAGACCATTTGTTGGAAATATAATGAGGATTCCTTTTGTGTATGGCTTGGACTAGATGGCTACTTAGGTCTCTTCCAGTTCTCAGATTCTGTAATTCTTCATCGTTTTTGAAATACTTTTCTTCCTTTAAAACTTAGCTCAGCTTCCACCTTTTCTATGAAGACTTCCCTGAGTCTTTCTACTTTCCTGACTTTCCCTCCCTAACCCTCCAACATGAAAATGTTTTCTCTATTCTCAAAATTTGCTGGAACGCTTTGTCCAGATCTTTCCTTTGCCCCGATCACATTCTAACTTGTATCATATTTTTTTGTGTATATCATATTCCCCTAGTAGATTCTAGCTCCTTGAGGGAAGGGATTATGTCAAGTCAACAAGCTTTTATTAAGCATCTGTTTGAGCAACACCATGGTAAAAGCTGAGGATAAGAAGCAGGGCAGAACTCAGTCTTTGTTCTCAGTGAGCTCTCAGTCTAATGGGGGAGATAGTACGCATACAATTAGGCACCAGCATTAAGTGGGATTGGTTAAAGCTTCACCCAGAGGGTGAGATTGTAGCCGAGACTTGAAGGAGGCCAGGAGAAGAGGAAGGAGAGAGTTCCAGCCATGGAGGACAATAGTGAAAATTCCTAGAATGAGGAAATAAACTATCCTATCAGAGGATCAGCAAAGAAACTTGGATTTCAGAGTATGTAGACAGGAATAATATATAAGAAGACTGGAAAAGTAGGTGTGGAGGTCAGATTATGAGAGGTTTTTAAAAGTCAGAGAATTTTATGTCATTTTCATCTTTGTATTCTATATCTCTAAGTGTTCTTCCTCTGTTTCTTGTGCTGATTTATCTCTTATCTCCTGTCCACTTAACCTAGGCCTTTCTTAAGCCTCCATCTTTGGTTCTCTTCCTTACTTGGACCCTCCCCATGATGATCTCTTCCATTCATGAAGTTGCAACCGTTTCTTTGACGTGGATGATTCTCAGGTTACCATCACTAGCTGTGATGTTTCCCTGAAACTAGAGTTATATTGCCAGCTGGACATCACCACCTGTATGTTGCATTAGCACTTCAAGATCAACATGAATGAAACTGAACTCATATTTCTTCCCACCCTCGGTCCAGAACCTGTTTCTCTTGATTTCCCTATGTCTGAGAGATGGTGATAACATTGACATTGTCACCCATGCTTATAACCTTGGAGTCATATTTGACTCCTCCCTTTCCCTCATCCCACATTTCTAATCAGTTGTCAAGTCCTGTCAATTTTATCTCCAAAGTATCCCTGGTATGCATCCCCTCCTTACCATTCCTACTGTCACCACCCTAGTCCTGGCCCTTATTACCTCTCCCCTGTTTTATTATGGTTACTGACTGGTCTTTCTGCTTCCACTCTCTCCTCCCTCCACTTCATCTTACACACATAATAAGAATATGAAGATAGTTTTCCGGATACACAGACCTGATTGAGTTACTCTAGTGTTAATTTTTGATGAGCAATCAGAAGAAATCATTGGAGACAAAATAAACGGACTTGGTTATACCAATATGACAGTGGCAGGAAGTTGGAGGTGTTTGGCTTAGGACAGGCTTGCACAGCTTATGGCCTGAGGCCTGCTTGTGGCTGGCCTAAGGATTTCAGGCAACCCTTGAAAAAATGTAGGGTTGCCACTGTGCACTCTCCTGTTTGTCACATGACTTGTGGCAACCAACCATCATCAGTCTGTCTCTAGTCTAATCTATCTGCATCCAAAAGTAGTTTACAAGTTGTACAGGTCTGGCTTAGGAGGAAAATTATCTACTTACTCCCTCATGGATGGCCCCCATCCTTGTATGTGCAAAGCTACCCTGTAACCCTGTTACTCCCCTCTAGCCTTTCTCTCTAGAATTAGCCCCCTTTCTTGGGGGAGGATTTTCTTTAAACTTTTTGGGGGAAGAAGGAGGCCTTCTGAAGTCTTGAAAATACTTTTGCAGGGGGATGATTCTCAGTCCTTATTTAAAAGTCTCTTTTTCCCAGCTCCATTGTTTAGCTTCCCACTACCTATCTTGTGCGCTTTACCTTCTCTGGTGTTATCTGCTTTGGGAAAGGAGGAGCTGATTGTCTATTCTCAGCCCTGGGTTTCTCCAAGCTTGATAAATTGTGGTAAGCCCCTTACTTAATGATAAAGGGATTTTGCATAACAAAAGGCAGTATCTCCAGGATTAAATGAAACTGGTTAATGTGAAGAAATGATAATATATAAGATAAAGTTCTATAATCTATAAGGAACTGATGCATTTTTATAAGATTAATAATATATGTTCCCCACTGGAGGAAGAGGATATGAGCAATTCATGAAGGAGGAAATATAAACCTTTAGTAACCCTATGAAAGATATTCAAATTTCTCAACCATCAGGGAAATGCAAATCAAGGCAACCATTAGATGCCACCTAAGATGCTGTAAGACAGCACAAATAAGAAACAAAAATAGTAAAAATTCATTGCTGGTGGAACTGCACATGGTTACAGACATTTTTGAAGAGAACAATATGGCACTGGATAGAAAGTAACAAAACTGTTCAACCCAGTGATTCCATTACTAGGAATTTTTCCCCAAATCCTCATAAAAGGTACTCATCTGCATAAATATATCTTTCTTTGTCATAGCAAAAAGTAAGAAGCATTCTATACGTTCAACAGTTTTAAGAATAGCTTAATAAATTATGATGTCTTCATGTAATAGAATATTATGCTGTTTTAAAAAAATAAACATGACGCATACTAGGGAATAAGGAAAGACCTTTACAAGTTGATGTAGAATAAAATCAGCAAAACCAGAACTGTATATATTTTGATTGCAGATATACATCAATTATAGCCATCTATTCAAAACTAATTTTTTTTAAAAAAGGAAGGAAGGAGAAAAAACTGGACCAAAGGTAGTAAACTTTTTGTCATCCTGGAGAAGGACAAAACAAAAGTGCTATGTTTTTTTAATTGTTTTTGCTTTTTTCATTTAGTTCTAGCTTATAATAAGATTTTACTTCTTGTTTTACATTTACTTATTTTTGATAATGATTGTTTATCATTTTAGGCATATATAAAAACCTTTGATTCTGTGTTTCCTATTGATTAAGATTCCATCCCTGTTATTAATTAACAACTTAAAGCGCCCATTGTGTGCCAGAGACTGGGGATACAAAGACAAAATTGAACTAGTCCCTAGACTCAAGGGCTTATGTTATATTGAAGGAGACACCTATGTACATATGATGGGGGTGGGGCCCACACCAAGATCTTCGCCCTTTGCCCCAGAGGGAATCTGACTCACAGGCCCCTGACCCTCATCTCCCTTTGAAAGCCTTAGCCTTACCTTTCAATCTTATTCAGATGCACCCTAAAAGAATCTGGCTCCCTTTTGTCTATAGGCCCCAGAAAGGCCTTCCTTTATCTCCTTTTGAAAGTCCTAGCCCCACCTTGATTTTGTGCAGATGCCTTTCAAACTTCTGCCTTCCTGTTCCCTCCATTATCTATTCCCATTGTCTATTCAATCTCTCTGACCTCCCCAATTAGAATTCTTACCTAGACCATTTTCCCAACCCCCTTCTCTGGCCACCCAAAGTTACTTTAGTATTTAAGATCCACCTTGACCCTCATACTGAGAATCTCACCCCCAAAAGGCTGAGAACTCTCATGCCCGCTCGTCCTTGTGCGTCACCTGGCCCTAAGTGTTTTAGCACTAATAAACTTTTCCTCTGGCTGAAGAAGGTTTGAGTTGAATTCTTTCAGGCAGGGCCCGGTACCATGATCTTGGGGTCCCAGCACCCCAAAACCTCTAGACCTCTTCACATAGAGGCAAGTAATAGAAATGAATTTTTTGTGTGGAGGTACTAAAAGCTGAGAGATCAAGTAAGTGCTCCCATTGAACTGAGCTGTGAAGGAAACCAGGAACTCCACCAGGGGAAGGTGAATGCATTCTAGGCCTGGAGGACAGCCTGAGCAAGGCAAAAAGATGGAGGATAGGGTCTCCCATAAGGAACAATCAGAAGGCCATTTTGGCTGGGCTGTGCCGAACCAGAAATGACTCTACTTCATTCTCAGCCTCATTTCTTACTGTTCCCTTTCATATAACCTCAGTCAAATAATCTCTTTGTTATCTCTTGAATTTTGAATTCTGGGCTTCCCCTATTTCTTTTTCTTTACTCACATCCTGGAATGGTTTGAGAAATTTATACTCATGTATCAGTCTTTGAACCACGGGCCAATTAGATAATGTGGTCTGCTTTTTATTTGTCCTTTAGGAAAGGAGTTCATTACTGCGAAAATGGTATGATCTGATGATAAAGAATAAAGATGACCTTGCCAAGATAATCACAGCTGAAAATGTGAGTACAGTGAGTAACCTGTCTGACTTCCTTAGTGGTTACCCTGGTCAGTGGCTTTCCCTGGCTTGAAGCCATCCTGGAGGTCAGTAAGTAGCCAGTAGCCAGGGTGATGTATAAATGTGCTACCCTGAAACTAGGAATGTATATATGTGAAGGAATGTATATATGTCAAGTTAGACTCTCCTCATTTTTGGAGTAACTTTAAGTATATGTGGAATGACTACTTATTGACTGTGTTGTGGAAGGGTTCCTGTTCAGATATGTATTGAACAGGATATCCCTGGTATCTCTTCTGTTCTGTCGTGTGTGTGTGTGTGTGTGTGTGTGTGTGTGTTGTTGTATCCAGGAATCCTTTGTTAAACAAAAGCCTTTAGCTTCCCTTCAATATTGTTATTGTGGTGCAGTGAGAGATGAGTAAATTAAAATAATAATTTCCAGCACACTGATTAGCTAGTCAAATATTCCAATGGATCTGTGGTCTCATTGGCTTGGAAGTTCTCTCTAACAATGCAGATCATGACCCAGCCATGCCTGCCTCTGTGACTCTTGTTCACATCCATGTCCAAATTTGGCACAGGAGGTCCATCCATCTTGCTTGGGGCTTCCTCACTTTCTGATGACATTGGGAGGAGACCAATGAAAATACTTAGGCTAAACAACTGTCATGTCTTGTTCTTGCCCAGCCCATATTTTTTTCCTGAATAGCTATGAAAATTGAAAATTCATGTATCAAAAGTAGACTTTTACTAATAAAAGATCATGGTATGATAATAACAATTATTACAGGTAGCTTTTATGTAACACCTGCTGTGTGCCAGGCTATGCCAAGGGATTTGCAGACATCTTATTTGATCCCCATTTTACAGTCGAGGAAACTGAGACAAATAAAGTTTGTTACTTGCCCAGGGTCCCACAACAAGTTAAGTATCTGAGGCTAGATCTGAACTCTGGTCTTCCTTATTCTAAGCCCAGTGCTATATCTATTGTCACCTAATTGACATAAACTCACTTTTATTTCCTTCACCTATTGTGATGCTGTTTTTTAAGGCCCATGATAAATTGAGGAATTCCTCTGCAGGGAGAAGATCAGTGAATTGGAAAATTGGGATTCACTGACTAAAGCCTTTTAAAATTTGAAGAATACAAAAAGCACATACAAGCCTTTTCTCTTTCTTTTTGTTTTTGTCTTTTTAAAATTCTGAACTTAACAATACTAGTCTTTTGGATATTGGAGATATCAAAGATGTGATTTCATCGTGCATTTTTTAAAAATGATGTGTAAGATCTCCAAAGGTCTCATGATGGAAAAGCTATCCACTTCCAAAAAAAAAAACTATGGAGTTTGAATACAGATCAAAGCATACTATTTGCTATTTTTTTCTTCTTTTTTGTTGTGTTACCTGTTTCTAATAGTTCCTTCTATTGGTTCTAATTCTTCCTTACAACATTACTAATGTGAAAATATGTTTAATAGGAATGTATATGTATAGCCTATATCAGATTGTGTGCCATCTTGGGGAGGGAGAGGGGGAGAAAAATTTAAAACTCAAAAGCTTATGGAAGTGATTGTTGATAAATCAAAATAAATTAATTTAAAAAAGCAGCAAAAAAAATGGTGTATAAGAATGGTTTAGTCACATGTAGAATCGTTTAGTAGATAAGAGTTAGGAAGTCAGAAAGAATCCTTCTTCTGACACTAGCTGTGTGACTATGGACAAATCATTTAACTAACACCACTGTTAACTTGTCTTAGACAACTGTAAACTGTGAGTTGTAGGACTCCCTCTGATCCTCCCCCCTACACCTGGTGAACCCACAAGTCATTCGGCATTGCATGTATCCTTTATATGCTTCTGGTTTAATTTTAGGGAAAGCCCCTAAAGGAAGCCCAAGGAGAAATTCTTTATTCAGCCTTTTTCTTGGAGTGGTTTTCCGAAGAAGCACGACGCATTTATGGAGACATCATTCATACCCCTGCAAAGGATAGGCGGGGCCTGGTCTTGAAGCAGCCTGTTGGGGTGGCTGCCATCATCACCCCAGTAAGTGGAAAGATTTGCTAGATCTTGAAAGGATCATTTAGAGGGAAATGATGAGACTCATCAAATAGCTTATTCATTCTTCAGTGTGAAAAGATGTATAGCCATCCCTGTCGGTTGGTCATTAATAATTAGAATTTTTGGAGATTTGCGGCAAAATTGCAGACAATGCACTACATATGAAGAAAACTGAAATAATTTAGTAAGTCATAAAATGCGTAAAAACTGTATATTATTCATCTATTTTTATCATTTACTACCGTTAAGTATACATACATAAATTTACTATAAATAGTGAGATTTTGTTAAAAGTTTCAGTGCGCTAAAGAACTATGGCTGTGTACTCTCTTTGTTTCCCTGCTATTGCATAATCTTCGTGGTGCTTTTTGTAGGAGAAGGAAATTTGGGAAGCAGCTGCAGTGGTTTCTGCAAAGACTTGTGTGGTGTGAGATACTGATCTCTCTCGAGTAGAAACTGCAACTTTTTTATGAGTGCAGTGAATTGTTTTTCTTGTTTTGTGTGTTTATTAAATATGATCAGAATTATTAAAAGTAAAGGTTTGGGATGGGGCTTAGAGTTATTCACATTTTTTCACATTCACAGGGGTCCTGCACCCCAACCCCCACAAATGTCAGGGGACAATTGGACTCCCCTTAAAATTGCTGAACCTGTTCTTGATTTTCCTGATTCCTTTTCAAAGGTACATGAGTTTGTCACTCAGTAGTCCTGTGATAATGTTAGGTGTGGCAATGATGAGTGAGAGTATATTTTTTAAAAATAAATGATTAAGAGTCATATATGGATGGGTGTTACTGGAATGCAAGGACCTTATTTAGGGGAAAGATAACACAATGGCATGATGACATATCCTAATGATGTATCTTTGTATTTGATTTAATTAAGTTTCTTTCTTAAGCCTAATTTTATGTTCTATGACACTCCAAACTCTAAAAAGTCCTTTTGTAATATGGGTCACATTTTGCAAAACGTTTGCTTAACCCATGGTAATTATCATCATCATCAACAAATGTAAAGTCATATAATATTTCATACATAAAGCTGGAAGGAACCTCAAAAATCATCTACACCAGGACTTCTTAACTCAGGGTCCACAGATCTCTATGGGATCTATGGATATGTAGATTTCAGGGGGTCCATGAATTTGGACAGGGAAAAAATAAACATCCTTATTTTCACTAATCTCTAACTGAAAATTTGTATTTCCTTCAATTATGAGTTTAAAAAATTCTAAGAAAAGGTCCATAGGCTTTGCCAAACTACCAAAGGGGTCCATGATGCAAAAAGAATTAGGAACCCCTGATCTAATCCAACTCTTAGCAAGAGCGTGAACCCTGCCTACAGTGTCCCCAGCAGAGTGGTCATTGAGCCTCTGTTTGAAAATGTCTCATGACTAGAACATTGCTACCCCCAAGCTCATTTTTATACAGCCCTATTTATGAAATAATTTTCTTTATATTTAGGCAAAATCTATTTCCTTGTCATTTATTTGTGGGTTTTTTTTCACCTGTCCTCTGAGACCAAGCAAAATAAATGACTTGGGACAATGTGGTAGCCTGAAAAGGGCCTTGGCCTAGTGAATTCCTTTGCTTCCCAGGATTTCACTTGTACGAGTTGATCTCTAGTAATGATGTTGCTTAAACATTTGAAGATAGCTGTCATGTTCCTTCAAAGTCTTCTCTGTATCCCCAGTGTCTTCAGTTAATCTTTGTAATAACATAGTTTCAAGTCTTCTTACCACCATAGTTGCCCTCTTGTGGATATGCTCCTGCCTGTCAATATGCCTTCTAAAATGCATTTCCTAGAACTGAACATGATACTCCAAATGTCATCTGAATGTAAGGGGAGGGAAAGGAATCAGCATTTATATAGCACCTACTGTACGCCAGACAGTGTGCTAAGTACTTTACGAATATCATCTCATTTGATCCTCACAACAGGCCTGTGAGGTAGATGCTATCGTGTGTCCCATTTTACAGTTGAGAACACTGAAGCAAATAGAGGTAAAAATGACTTGCCCAGAGTGAAATAGTGGGTAAGTGTCCAAGGCCAAATTTGAACTTCGATCTTTCTGACTCTAGGCTGAGCCCTCTATGCACTGCACACCCTAGCCGCCTATGTGTGCAGATACATGGGTAGAATACGATAGCACTCTCACCTTCCTTTTTCTAAACTCCATACTTTTATTAATACAGTTTTACTCTGAATTAACTTGTTTAGCTGCAGGTCATTCTGCTGATTTATATTGAGCTTATTGCCTCTGAAAACCCTTAGACCAGAGGTTCTTAAGCCATTTTTGTGATGTGGCAGTCTGGTGAATCCTGTGGACCCCTTCTCAAAATAATTGAAGAAAATGCTAAATTTCAGTTGAAGGTTAGTGAAAATAAAGATATCACTTTTTCTCAGACAAGTTTACAAACCTCTTGAAATCTATCCACTTCCCTCTAGTCCATGAATTCCAGACAAGAATCTCTGCATTTGATTTGTTGCTGTTGTTTTGTTTTCTTGGCTAGGAGATGGGGTTAAGTGACTTGCCCAGAGTCACACAGCTAGTAAGTGTCAAGTGTCTGAGGCCGGATTTGAACTCAGGTCCCCCTGACTCTAGGGCCAGTGCTCTATTCACTGTGCCACCTCACTGTCCTTCCCCCCCTGCATTTGATTTTGAAGACAATGGTGCTTGCTCTTCACATCCTCCTCCAACCTGTACTTGTACACTCGGTTTTTTTGAACCCAGAAACAAGATGTTATAACTGGGTTCAAATGCCACTCTCCTCTACAATGTCTCTGTAATCCTGGGCAAAGTATTCTCAGTGCCCCAGACAATTCTCTAAGATTATAAGGTACAGAATAGTTGCTGATCTTTGTCAAGTGGCAGAGGGCATTTTCTCACTTGATGCTCCATATACTGATAAAATCACAGGCCTAAAAAAAAAGTGAGACCTCCCCTATTGATTTTCGTCTTGTTAGCTTTAGCCTACCCCCAATTCTACCCTCTCAAGATTGTTATATATTGTCATTTTATCATGAGTATCAACTCTCCTTCCCAATGTCATGTCTTGTGAAAATTTGCTAGACAAGGCATCTGTGCCTTCCTTCAAGTCATTGACAAAAGTGGGAGCATTTATAGGGAAGGCACTGTGATTAATGCTCAGACTATAGAGAAGTATGGTACATTGTCTCTCTGCCCTTACAAGAGTAGCCTGCAGTCTAGATTGGGAGTTCAGATGTTACATGAATAGATCTATTCAGTGAAGCAGTTTCTTCTTACCTAATCTTTCTTGAACTGCTTTCCTCTCTCCTCTTTGTAATCTTAAACAGTTTCCCCCCACGTCATAGCTAGGTCAGAGGCTCATAAAATCACAGATTTAGAGCTAGAAAAAAGAAGGAACCTGTAGAAATCATCTAGTCCAACCCTTTCATTTTACAAATGGGGAAACTGAGGTCACATGTAGGGAAGTAACTCACCCAAATAGTCTCCTAGAGGGAATTTGAACCTGGTCTTCTGCCTCCAAACCCACCACACTTTTTCTCTCCCCTTGTGTAGTATAGTTCCAGGCTATCTTCCTTCTATACTAAGCTTCCTGAAGAGGAACAATGGAATTTTCTTCTGTCTTTAATGATCTCTGCCATTACAGCATTTCATTCCTACAGATTTTTTTGTTGCTTTTGTTAATTACAAAAAAAAAAAAGAAAGAAAGAAAAGAAAAAGAAAAAAAGTTTCTCTTCTCAGTAGGCTTTGTATCTTATCTGTAGAGTTGTCATATGTCTGCTAGCAGGGCTTAGTGTGATTAATCCATCTAGTAGTCAATAAATAACTCGTCTTCCAGTGAACCGGTGGATTAAGCAGATATTTCTCTAGAGCTGTCTTATAACTTCCTTTTTTTCCCCTCTTTGTGACCATAGTGGAATTTTCCCAGTGCTATGATTACCCGAAAGGTAGGAGCAGCTTTGGCAGCTGGTTGCACAGTGGTGGTGAAACCTGCAGAAGATACACCTTTTTCTGCCCTGGCTCTTGGTGAGGTGAGCAAGTTTCTTCGTGTATTCATTCATACATACGATTATAAACTTAAAATCAGAAAGTACTTTACAGGCCAGCCAGTCCAACCCTTTAAGTCAGTCATTAAAGCTTACTATGTATCAGGCACTATACTAACTGCCATGGATACAAAGAAATGCAAGAAGCACCCTCTGCTCTCAATAATGTTATAGTCTGAACACACACACACATACACGCACGTGCACACATACACACACACACACACACATACATACACACACACGCACACATACATGCATGCACACGATGAAAGGTAATCTGAAAGAGGAAAGCACCAATAAGATGGCAGGACCAAAAGAATCCTTTTGCAGAAGTGGGATTTGCACTGAGTGTTGAAAGAAGCCAAGGAAACAAAGAGGCATAGGTGAAGGTGTGGAATATTCCAGGTATGAGGGACACATGGCAATTCAGAGGCACAGAGATGGAATGTGGAGGATCCTGTTCAGGAAACAAAAGGTAGGCCAAGGTAATTGGATGGCACAATGCATGGAGAGAGGAGTAAAGTCTGAGAAGAATGGAAAGGTAGGAAAAGGCCAAGTTATAAAGGACTTTAAATGCTAAACATAGAACTTTGAACCTGGAGGTAGTGTGGAGCCACTGGTGCTCATTGGGCACAGAATTGACATGGTCAGGCCTTCTGTTAAGAGGGCTGTTGCAATAGTATAGGCAAAAGGTAATGAGAGCCTGCGCCACACCAAGTATGGATGGCTCTCTCAAAGAGTTTAGCTGAGAAGGGGAAGAGTGTTACAGGATGATAGCTACAGGAGATGGTAGGATCAAATGAAGAATTTTTTTAAAGATGAGGAGACCTGGATGTATTTATAGGCAGCAGAAAAGGAGCCAGTAGATAGGAGAACATTGAAAATAAGAGAAAGTAGGCATGATAGTGGAGAAAATCTGGGAGGGAATTTGATCAAGGGTATCTGTAGAGGTATTGGCCTTGACAGAGAGAATGGAGTGAAGGAGGAGAGAATGAGGAAATATGTCAGAATGACATGAGATGAGAAGAAGGGAATAAAAGAGAACTTTTGGCAAGTTGTCTTAATCTTTTTCAGTATGGTATGAGGCAAGATCCTCAGATGAGAGAGGAAGATTAGAGGGGGGTGCTATAGGAGATTTGAGGAGAGATGACAAGATTTGGATCAGCCATTCCCAGATAACAAGCATCAGCATCTGTATTTTATAAATCAAGTTCATTTATAAATAAATTTTGTGTGTAAAGTTCATTTATATATTATATATGTATGTGTGTATATTATTTATTTATTTATACATACATAGAGTTTATTTATAAACTGCAGTTGACAGTTATTGTGACTTCTCCAAGTTCATACAACTAAAAATGACAATGCAGGGGTTCAAACCTAGGTCTTCTGACTCCAACCCACATTCCACTGTGCCACAAGTGGACATAAATGAGCATTTGTCAAGGGGTGAGGAAAAGCACCTTTCTTTACCTGCATCCCCTTTTAGAAAAGTTTTTCATTTTTACTTGCATTTGAATCTGATGGTTTTCTCTTAACTAACATGTTTAGATTTCTTCCCATTCCTGTCAGGGATTCTTTTTTGGCCTTTGATCAAATGTACCCAAATAACTCCTTTGGGGCTTTGTTTTAATTGGACAAATTCTAGAAAGTGATTTCAAAAGCATCTCTTTCACATTTTGTTCTCTGTGTCAGATCTTTTTACATGGGGACACTCAAGCTCCAATGTCATTGTCTTCTCCATTTATGACCTTGGCCTCTATAGTAACCTCCTCTCCACTATTGACTTTGTTTGCACTGCCCTCTGATGTGGTACGCAAAGTTTGCAGACCATCGTCCTCAAAAATCATTCAAGAGCACCCTTCAGAACTATGGGAATACTAGCAGTCTTCTAGGAATTCTTTTTTAAAATATATTTAATTTATTTTTAAATTTAAATTATTAATTATTATATCATAATAACTATTCTAAATTATAAAATGTTGTGGTTGTGTCATAAAATTATTAATTAAATTGCTTTTATTTTAATATTAAATTATTTTATTTTCAATTCATGGAACAAAACAAGCATTTCCGTAACACAGTACCAAAAAAATTCTTCTAGGGATTTTGAGATGAGCTCCTGCCCTCAAGGAGCTCCTCATCTAAGTATATCTTCTTTCTGAGGCTAGTGCTCCATTTAGAGTACACTGTGCTGAACATTTTCCTGGGAAGATTTGTTCAGACCCTTTTTTGTTCCTTTTATTCTTTTTTATTTTTCAGTTGTGTATGTGTGTTTTATATAACATTAAAAAAAAATTCTAAGCGTGTGACTGCTTTTTTTCCTCTTGAAAATGAACAGTTGAAGGAAAAATTTGGATTATTCATTATCATTATTATTATTATCACGCTCTGTTCACTCTTTGGATATATCATCAGCAGGCGTGTAGTGCAGGGGTGGGGAACCTGCAGCCTTGAGGCCACATGTGGCCTTCTAGGTCCTTGGGTGCAGCCTTTTGACTGAGTTCAAGTTTTACAGAACAAATCCTTTTATTGAGAAGAGTGAAGTTTGGCCTTGGTCAAAGGGCTACACTTGAGGACCTAGAGGGCCACATGTGATTTCCCACCTCTGGTGTATCATATGTTATGTGCTAGGAATAAAAATACAAAAGTCCCTTGCCCTCAAGGAGCTTCCTTGGTCTATAGGGAGGGACATCCTGTGCGTGTACAAGCATATATAAAATAAATAAAAGGTAATTGGAAGGGCAGGGGGAGGGGAGACCCTAGTAGCCAGAGGAGGATTAGGAAAGGTTTCTTGTAGGAGTGAACATTTGAACTGAGATTTGAAGGAAGCCAGGGAGTCTGAGACATACTGGTAAGGAAAGGAGTGCATTGCAAACATGGTGGGGAGAGGGGAGAAGAAGTCTTTCCACAAGGACAGGGACAAGAGAATGTGATGTGAGAGGAACAGTAAGAAGTCCAGTTGGGTTGAACTGTAGAATATGTGAAGGAGGATAATATATGATAAATGTGGAGAAGTAGACTAGAGCAAGGATGTAGAAGGCTTTCATAAAAGCCAGAGGAGTTTGTGTTTTATCCTAGAGGCGAGAGGGTTCCATGAGCACTCCTTGAGCAGAAGAGTGACTGTGTCACACCTGGGCTTTAGGCAATAAAAAGGATCTTGTTACAAGCATAGAAAGATCATATGGGCTCCTGAACTGGAGGCAGAAAATTGGGAGGGTGATCTCCACCAACAGTAAATTTGAACAGTAACCTTGGACTAGCTTTGTGATCCTTAGGTCTACGTCATGTTGATGAGCTTTGTTAGGGGAATTGCAAATAGAATTCAGAATAAAACATGAGTGAATCTTCTCCAAGAAGCATAAGGGAATATAATTCTACATTGAGATGCATGAAGGTTCTTCTGCTTTGGGAGAGTCTGTTTTTCAGATAGAGCATGATGTTGGGATTCATACTTGGGGAAATTAATACATTTTTAATATGATACTTTTGTAGTATTAGAGAACCTTAATATTGATGAGGAGAGGTAGCATGGATGGAGACTTGACCTTAGCATCAGGAAGACTTGGGTTCCAGCCCTGCCTCTGGCAGGTACTGACTGTTACCTAGAGCCACTTAACCTGTCAATGAACCAGACAACTCTCTAGATAGCCGGTCAGTCTATAAACATTTACTAAGTCCTCCTATGTGCCAGTCACTGCACTAAACATTGGGGATACAAAAAGAGGCAAAAGACAGTCCCTGCCCTCAAAGAGCTTACAATCTGTAGGGAAAACAGCTAACAGATATGCACAAGCAAGCTATATACAGGATAAATAAGAAATAATTAAAAGAGAGAAGGCACTAGACTGAAGAGTTAGGAAAGGCTTCTGGAAGAAAACCGGATTTCAGTTAGGACTTAAAGAAGACTCTAAGTTGATGAACATGTGTGTGTATTTGTGTGTATGTATACATATATGTGTATACATATACATATATCTTTAAAAGGATAACATTTAAATAACAGGTCTGATCCAAAACATACATGCACACAGCTATACATATGTGTGGTTAAAATGGTATATCTGTATACATATGTATGTATCCACATGTATCTGTGTCTGTATAGATGTATGTATATGTGTCTGAGACATAATTTCACACCTAAATCCTCCATGTTCTCATTTTGTCCTTATATAATGGCCGTGAAGGGGAAGAAGGTTGCCTTAAAATTTTGTTTTCCTTTGCTTTCACTTAATTATTGGATTCAAAACTACTGTACCTTCTGCTTTTTTAAATCATTGTTTTGCTCTCATTTTAGCTTGCCAACCAAGCAGGAATTCCTGCAGGTGTTTATAATGTGGTTCCCTGCTCTCGTGAGAAGGCCAAGGAGGTCGGGGAAGCTCTTTGCACTGATCCATTGGTATCCAAAATTTCTTTTACTGGCTCGACAGCAACCGGAAAGGTATGTGAAAGATTACTTTAAGAGGTCATAAGAAATATAAAATGTTATTTTGTAGAGGAGAGGTAGAAAGAGAGAGGCCTCAGAGACAGGGTTGATAACCCCCACAATTCAGGACAGGAAAATGTCTGTAGTGCTTGGCCACCACACTAAGTTTTCAAAGGCAGCAGACCACTAGTGTTCTCTGTCTTCCCACCGCAAAAATTCAAGCTGCTCTAATGGCCACCAGGCCAACCCCCTAGCTTAGACTAGCTTTACCCTGGGGGAAATAACTTAAATAAGAAGGTGATTCATTTTAAGGTGGCCTAAAAAGGGAAAGTGATAAGATAGAATCAAGGAAAAACTGGATCTACTGATCAGGAAAGGCCTTCTGGAAAACTGAGGCCCTTTTGAAGGTGAAATTGTAGCTTGAGCAACATGGAGGTGCAGGGACCAACCTAGAAATAAGCATCTTGGCATTCCCAGGACCAATGCTCTTGACATAACAACACAGAATGAGTACTGCCTTAGCCTTCTAATAGAGCATTAGGCCTTTCCCATCCATTTTTCTTCACAGGGCATCTTTGCCATTTCTTAAATTCTGTGACTGCATAGTCACAGTCTGATAGTGGCCTCCATCTCAATGTGTGTTCATGGCTGGTTCTCCACTCTTAACTGCAGATTCTGTTGCATTATGCTGCTGACTCTGTGAAGAGGGTCTCCATGGAGCTAGGGGGGCATGCCCCGTTTATCGTGTTTGACAGTGCCAATGTGGACCAAGCGGTGGCAGGGGCCCTGGCTTCCAAATACAGAAATTCTGGTCAGGTGAGTCCTCTAGAATATTTCTAGAATTTTTGTTTGGAAAGCCCTGTCCCTGCCTTGAACATAATTTTGAGTATCCATCAGATTTTTTTCCTCCTTCCATTTCCACCTCTTCCTGCGGCTCACTTTCCTTGACATTTTCCTTAGTTAAGCTCCTACTCTTATGTTAGTTGATAAATTCAGTACTGGCTTTATAACTATTGGCTAAGTCCACTCTTTTCCAGAGGGCTATCACCTCTCAAGCTATGGAGGAAGCACTGAATGTTTGGACTAAAAAAAAAAATACTGTTTTTCCAGTTCTCTGTATCCAGAGGCAGGATGGTATAATAGGTAGAGTGCTGGCCTCAAATCCATGAAGACTTGGAATCAGGTCTTGCTTCTCACACATCTTGACCGTGAGACCCCGGACAAGTCCCTCACAGGCAGAGGGGTTCTTAAACCTATTTCGTGTCTTGGGCTGATGATAATCTGGTGAAGCCTTTTCACGCCTTCTCCAAATAATGTTTTTCAATGCACAAATTAAAATACACAGGATTGCAAAAGGAAACCAATTATTTTGAAATGTAGCTACCAAATATTTTTTAGAAACAAGTTCAGGACCTTAGGTTAAGAGCTTGAGATACGAGGCAGTTTTTTAAGACCATGAATTGCACAGAACAATTCTGACTCCCCTAGGTCTCTCCCTTTTCCTATTTCTTCATATACACATCACTTCATATTCTTGCTTAGGACACTGCCTAACACACAGTAGGTGCTTCTTATAAATGCTTTCTCCCCATTCCACTTCTCACCTCCTGGTATTTATTCTCAGCTCTCCTTGTTTGTCAGGCAGCAAGCCAGCCCACTTTACTACTTCTTGCATTTTAGTTTTTGGTTAATCAGTAAAGAGAACTTGGGGCTGAGAAATATGTCATTTGTACCCCTTGTTTTCTTTCCAAGTTAAAGAAAGAATGCAGTGTCATCTAAGCCCCCAGATATTTTTTACTTGCAAGGCTAAAACTGGGTGGGAAATAAACTAGGCCTCCTCTAATGTCACCTCTAATAGATAACAGTTGGGAATTATTAGCTTGGGCCAACTGCTTTGGACTCTTCTCATGTTTTGTCCCTTTTATATTTAGACATGTATTTGTGCCAATCGTTTCTTGGTGCAAAAGGGGATCCATGATTCCTTCGTGAAGAAGTTTGCTGAAGCCATTAATAGAGAGCTGCGTGTAGGTCATGGATTTGAGGAGAGAACCACCCAAGGCCCATTGATTAATGAAAAAGCAGTGGAAAAGGTAAATGAATCAATTAAAGCTTAGTCTCTGTCTTCAATATTAACATGGTCAGCTTAGCTAGTAGATCTTTGTCAGTGCTTAAATCTACTGTGGGAGAATTCAGTCAACAAGCATTTATGTAGGTCTTACTGTGTTCCAGGCACTACACTTAAATGCTAGAGAGACACAAATAAAAAAAAAGCTCATGCCCTCAAGGAGCTTGCCTTCTAAAAGGTGAGACAGCATAAATATAAGTGGGTGTATTCAATATGTTCAGGGCAGGTAGGTGGCTCAATGAGTAGGGTCCCAGGACTAGAGTTAGGAAGACTCAACTCTCTGAGTTCAAATCCAGCCTCAGACACTTACTAGCTGAGTGACCCTGGGCAAGTCACTTAACCCTATTTTCCTCAATTTCCTTGTCTATAAAATGAACTGGAGAAGGAAATGGCAAACCACTCCAGTATCTTTGCCAAGAAAACCCCAAATGGGGTCACAAAGAGTCATCCAACAGATAACCTTAGAGGGAAAGGCACAAAAAAGTGAAGAAAATCATGTAAAATGTACAGCTTGAGATAAATCTTTAAGGAAGCCAGGGATTAAAAAAAAAAAACAAAAGAAGTGAAGAGGTAGAGCCTTCAAAGCAGAACTGAGTTCTGAGAAATCAGAGAATAAAGTCAGCTTTCATCTGTTTCTTGAGTTAAACAGTATATTACCTGGAAGATTGATCATGAGATTGGAAGTTAGGAAATCTAGATTCTCTTTCTAACTCTTTCCCATAATTCACCCAGCTTCACTTCTGCTCCTCCCTTTCTCCTGCTATAAAATGGAGATAGTAGCAGTCTCCAGTCCTCCCTCCTTCCAGGGCTTATGATGAAGAAATACTGTTTGTAAGGCTCATTAAACATCTTAGAAGGAAGGCAGGAAGACTTTTGAAAACAAGTTTGTGTGCTGGCTGAAACACTGGGTTTGGTGTCATATTTCTTCCTCTTATTACAAATTATTCTTTCAGCCCTCACTTTTAGTACTCTCTCCAAATATTCATTAAATTCCTAAAGCTTCCAGCAGGGGGAGATAGAATACCAAGTGTTTAGTTGGGGATTTAGAGATGGAGGGGAAAACTGACGCTGAGGGAGAGAAAATTCTTCTTGGCAATTTTTAAATTTAAATGTCACACTTTAGGATGATCACACCTGGGAAAAAGGTTTTCCTATACTTTCATTCCTGTTTATTAAACTCCTTTTAGAATCACTCGAGGAATTTCCTTGCTAATCTAAGAATATAATATATTGCCTGGGTGGTCTGCTCTTATTGGAATAGAGATTAGATCTGTGATTTCAGGGGTATAGGGAACTCCTGGATGAGTCACTGGGGACGCAGATTAAATGACTTGCCTGGGTCACCCAGCCCATATGTGTGAGAAGTAAAGCTTAAACTCAGGTCTTGGCTGCCACCATCTTTAAAATCAAGGAGAAAATCAGTGCTATCATTATCATCTGCAGTTAGCCAGAAAAATCACGATGTGGAATGTGAATGCAAGAGAGAAAGAAAAACAGGAAGCAGTCATCTCAGCAGAGAGTAGAATGGGGGAGAAGCCTGTAGTTTGGGACTTGTCCAAGGTGAAAAAACAGAACAGCCCCAAAATTGGCAGCCTTACCCCACCAAAGTGGAAAATGCCAGATCACCGGAGTGTTTGGAGATCTATTGAAAATACCAGGGAACAAGTTAGGGAGGGTTCTTATTATGTGCTTTTGCCAAGCTCTCACTGCCTAGCAACTGAGCTGATCACACCAAAATCACATTCATCTGTGTCCCTTGTGAAAACAAATTGAAACACTGCAATGTGGGAGAGCTCTTAGGCTCTTTTAATTCTCAGGAGACCTTGAAGCATTTTGTTTCCAAAGAGAAGTTTCTTAAACTGTGTGTGGGGGAAGGTGTGTGAAGGTGCTCTTTACTTGGATGGTTTTGCTTTGGTCCCTTGGTGCAGGCTGAGAAGGACAACAGATGGAAAAGACCCATTAGTTCCTTGTGTCCCTGCCCTGCCAGCTCATAGAGGGTAACTGAAGCAGTGCTCTTTCTTCTCTTCCCGTCTAAGCCCTTGTTGTGACTGTTGGGAAACAAATGCTTTCTGTAGTTCTAGTCTCTAGCTCTCTCCTTTGGGAATCACAAAGTATGCCATGTTCCTTATCCCTACACCATCTGGCTAAAAATACCAGACTCAACCCCTGAAACAAGTCAAGCGACCTGAACCTTTAGAGAATATAGTGCAGGGTAGTGGGTAGGACTGGCTTTGGAGTTAAGGTCCTGTGCTGCCTCTTAGCTCATGTGACCAGGGACAAGTCACTGAATTTTCCCTTGGCCCTTATTTCCTTATCTCTAAGATGGGGGTTATTAATATGGTAATATATTAATTAGCATATAATTATATAATATATATAATTAATAATATAATTAGGTAATTAATATGGGTAATATATTACCCATATAGGTATATTACCTATATGGGTAATATATTACCCATATAGGTATATTACCTTAGGAAGTTATAAGGTTCAAAAGTTATCATGTATGGGAAGCACTTCATTGTTTATTAATTTCAGTTTTTATTATTATTAAATGATTTTGCTTCTTTTTTTGTCCTCAGAAGGTGGAGAAAGATAGAGGAAGAATGTAGGACTGAAAATGGTCATCATAGCCTTGATTAAAATATACTCAAGTATCCCTGTACATTTATTTGTAGATTATGCCTAAAATAAAATTACACAGCAGATCTTTTTAATAAGTTATTGTGGTTTTAGGAGATGATTAGGTTGTGGGAAAACTGCCATCTTTTCCATTTGCAATTTTTCTCCCAAATTTGGCCGTGGCCACAGCTGTAGCAGGATACAGCATTTTTTTTCCCTGTGAGTAGAGCAAATACTCTGGCCTGATTCTCTCAAAATGAGGTCAGGCACATCTTGAAGTACCTCTGAGAGGTCAAGTGTGCTTTTCTCTAATGCTCCTATTTAGGAGGTGCTCTCCCCGCTGTTAGCCACCATTGACTAGCCCCTACATCCATTTAATCAATTGGTTTTTACAAAGGGATATTTATTTCAAAGATACAGCAATAGCATTAGTACAAACATTTCTCCTTAAGAGTTTGGGGAAACACCTCAGTCTCTGAAGAGAGAGTGGACCTAGAATTCTTCTTTGCTGCTGCTATGTTCGGTCCTGAAGGTCGAGTCTCATTCCCCTGGGCCTCAGAGCTAGACCAGAGGCTGCAGAACTTTTTACAGACTCCAAAAAATCACTCTGCTGGTGACTCACTCTCCTGATATCTCACAGCACCTCTAATTTCCTTCACTTAAAATGAAAAAAACAAAACTTGGAGGCAAAGAACCATGGCCTATATTCACAGGCCACATGTCAGCCTCAGGTGGTGGGACAGGGAGTATAGTAAAATCTCTGCCTTCTACCCTTACATACAGCATTGTCTCTCACTAGAATGCTGACAGGCTAGAAGAAGTTAAACCAAGAGAAGGGAAATGAGGTTGAATGCCTTTTGAAGGCTCCGCAGTTCCAATCCAAGAGGCTCTCATTCACCACATGCCCAGTGACCTGTACCAGTTATAAAACCTGTGTAGAGCCTGTGCTCCAGATCTTCCCAATGTGCTTCCATTCCAAGGCATGCATCATCATGACTCTCCCAAAAGGAGATTCTCCAGTCTTATCCACTTGAGAAATTGCATTATTGACACTCTGTACGTGATCATAAGTACTGGGTTCATTGGCCAGTTCCCAGTTACATGACATTTAGCTTGTACATGAAGTTATATCCTGACGTTACCAGACCGTTAGCAGAATCATTGATCTTTTGTACCCACCAAGGTAGGTCAACATGTACTCGTACATACTCAGTCTCTGACTAAGAATGATAACATTTGAAGATTCTAAGTAAGATACCTAAGTTTTCCTGGCTTTGGGGGTGTTAATACTGGCCATATGCCTGTCTCTTTTTATTCTAAAACTTCGAGTTCATAAAGAAAGGTAAAGAAATTGAGTAATATTGCCACTTTTTGTGACAAGGAAGGATCTGGTGCTGGATAGGGGATAGGGACTGTGGATAGGACTGGACCTGTGATCTTATTGGTTATAGGGAACTCCCAAGTGAGGCAATTCCTTCTACTAACATAGGTAGGCACTTTTCCTGCAACCTAGAGTTTTAGAGAGCTGCCTAGAACAATGAAATATTAAATAACTTGCCCAGGGTCATATAGCCAATGTGTAACAGGTAGAATTTGAACCCAGGTCTCCATAGCTTTGAGACCAGCTAGATCTACTCTACCACGCTACCTCTCCTGATACTAGAAGAAGGAATCAAATCATCAGGAACAGACTGGAGGTTTTGAATAGCTTGATTCTAATTTCCATCTCTTTTCCATCCAGTCTTTGTACTTTGACCCACATTTTGCATTTTGGTAAGAATTTTTCAACATGTCTCAACAGTTCAGTGTAGGAGAGTTATAACTGGATAGGGTGGTTTTTCACCTATTCTTTCCTCATTGGGTTGAACTTGCCAGAAGTACCTTCATTCCCTGGGTATTAAGGGCCCAAGGTAGTTTGAGGAAGGGATAAGACAAAAGCTCCATTTGCAAGGGCTGTTATTACCATTAGCATGTAGTTTTAAGGGCTGTGAGTTTCAGCAAAACCGAAACAATATAATGATCCTTTGCCTAAAGGGCATGTTTTCTAACTTGTTGGGTCACATTATGTAAGATACTGTGCCATTCATATCTGTAATGATGTTTTAGTCTAAAACATAATCAAGCTGATAATATGGAATGCATTTCTGATCTCTTTTTGTTTGTTTTTGTTTAGGGAAAAAAAAAAGAAAGCACACCACGGAAGTGTGGTCCAGGGCTGGGCAAACTACCATCGTTAGCCCTAAATCCCCACTACTAGTGGTCCACAAGCTAAGAATGGTCTTTACATTTTAAAATAATGTTTTATTTGTATTTTAAAATGTAAAAGCCACTCTTAGTTCACAAGTGGACCTTATAAAAATAGGCAGATCTGGCCTTTGGGATATAGTTTGCCAGCTACAGTTTTGGAAACTGAGGCTTTGCGAAGTCAAATGACTTTTGCCCTGTGTCCCACGGCTAGTTAGTAATAGACCTGGATCTCAGTTACTTTAAATGAAATTTCTCTTTCTATCTGTTGCTGCCGGGTTCTATTAGTAATGTACAGAAATGCTGTATTAGTAATATATAGAAATGCTGCTGATTTATGTGGATTTATTTTATATCTTGCAATTCTGCTGAAGTTGTTAATTATTTCAACTAGTTTTTTAGTTGATTCTCTAGGATTCTCTCTCTAAGTATACCATTATATCATTGGCAAAGAGTGAGTTTCATTTCTTCATTGCCTCTTCTAATTTCTTCAATTTCTTTTTCTCCTCTTATTGCTATAGCTGACATGTTAAGTACAATATTGGATAATAGGTGATGATAATGGGCATCCTTGATTCACCCCTGAGCTTATTGGGAAGGCTTCTATCTTATCCCCATTACAGATGCTTGGTGATGGGTTCAGAGGGATAACTACTTATTTTCAGGAAAGTTCCATTTATTCCAGTGTTTTTAATGAGAATGGATATTACACTTTATCACAGTTTTTTCTGGATCTGTAAAGATAATCATAGGATTTTTGTTATTTCAGTTGTTGATATGGTCAGTTATGCTGATAGTTTTCCTAATATTGAGCCATTCCTGGTAGAAATTCCACCTGGACAGTAGACCTGGATCCCAAAGCTTAGTGTCATGACCAGTGATAATTCCATTAAACCTCACTGCCTCAGTTATCCTAAGTTCCCAGGTTCAGAGAGATATTACTTTTTGCTAAGAAAACAAGTCTACCCTAAGAAGGAAGAGAATTTTCCTCAAGGGAACAAGGCAAGATGAAAACCTTCCCCTTCCCTCCCTTCCCCCAGTTTTATCAGTTTCCTCTAAAACAGAAGAACACTAGCTGCTGCCAGCCTGGGACTATTTGGTAGGATCACGTGCTCCTGCAGAAAGCATGACAATATCTCAGGAAGTGAACTCTATTTTAGGATTCATCAGCATAAGCAGAAAAGCTGATTGGGACCTAATGCTGTTTAATTGGAGAATTAAGGCTCCATAGAGAAAAGCAGAAGAGAAAAAAAACCCTTCAAGTAAAAGGAAGTGATCTTTCCTTTTATCTCCCTCCTCTTTTATGATCCTTTCTCATTTCTTTCACCCTCTTTCTTCTCAACTTTTCTCCTCTTTCTTGTTTTCTCTCCCCCCACATTTAAAAATGTCCTTTCCCCCTTTCATTCTTTACTTTCTTTGCTTCTTAACCTCTTCCCTCTTTTATTTTCTCTCCTCAATATCCTCTCTCCCTTCCAGTCTTTGCCTCTCTTTTCCTGTCTCACTTTCTCCTCTCTTTTTTTCCTCCTTGTTCCTTCTTTCTTCCCTGCCTCCTTCAGGGAGGCTTATGATGCTTTAGATCAAGTTGTTGATGAGATCACAGCATGCTGCATGTGTCCTGTGACTCCTGTCCTTTGGCCACAGGTTATCTTATTCTGCTCTTCATTGGGAATCAAAATTGTGCTTGCTTACTAACCTCTCTGAAAATCCTGTCCTTTCTCTAGTACTGTCAAGATTTAAAACAGCAACAAAACCAACAAATGCTGATCTCGTGCAGGCTTGGAATAATAGGTTGTGGTTTTTTGCTTTTGTTTTTTTTAATGATTTAAGGTCACCGTCTTTGCAAACTCACCAAATAAGAAAACAAAGGAAATGATGACTAAAAGATTAAAAGCTATAGCCCCTCTGGTCATGATCCTAAGTCAACTCACACCTGAATAAAGCTCTTTAATGCCTGGGGAGGCACACCACAGTACACACAGCACTAGCTTGAGGAAGTAGTTTCTGGTGAGGGCAAAGCTGGTTTTGTTTTTTCTCTTTGTATCATGAATGCCTAAAATAGGGCCTGACATTTAGTAACTGCTTAATAAACGTTGTTGATTGATTGATGGATGGAATCATAATTCTTCCTTCCTCCACCCCACCACATTCTCCCAGCAACGCCCTATAGTGGTTAGACCAAAGCATTCTGATCCCAAAGGGCTAGAGTATGGTTCATCACCCCACCTCATTCCCACCCCAGCCATGGCAGTCCCAGACTGTGAAAGATGTCCTAGACATCCCTGTCAATTTGAGCTTTCAGGTTATTGACATGATCCATATCTCTCATTTGGTTGCTTGTGATTGCACTCCACCCAAGAACACATACATTCTGAGGCTGAAGGCTTGGACCATGACAACTGGACCAGGATGGCATTAGTTCAGTAAGGAGGCAGTTCTGACGAGGTGGCACAAATCCAACCTAGAAGAAAATGCAAGCTCCCGTCTGCCACCACTGTCTACTCTTAACACTGGCATTCCCCTCATCCTTTGATACTGCCAAGGCTGGATTAGAGTCTCCAAAACCATCCCCATCTCCTGAGAATTCCTTCCTTCCCCCTCCCCACACCTAATAAAATCTTTGTATATAAGGAGATATTTATTAAAATGTTTATGAATCTAATTTAGTGGTCATTCCTTAGACTGACCACAGTCTGGAGGGCAGCAGGTCAGTGGCTTACATTAGGGACATTTCATGTTCTTCAGATGGTTCTGAAGCTCACCAGAAATTTCTGGGGCACAGGCCAAGAGGGCCTCTTAGTCCAACAAAACTGGTTTATGCTGGACCAGCCTCTGCTAAATGCTTTGAGGCCCAAAGATAAAAGGCTGCCATCTGTCTATTGTCCTTTAGGGGTTGCCATTTGCTAGGCCCTCAAACACGTGTGTTTACAGTGTCCTCTTATGACAGAAGGGCATTTTGTAGAAAACACTATGTCTTAAAAACTAGCTTTCAATAAAATACCACATTTACAGTCACTAGTAGTGTAGAAATGCCCCAGCCTGCTTTATTTTCTCTGCTCTTTAAAATAACATTATCTCAGTGTCTCTTTACACAAGAGAAAGCATTCTCAACTGGCTTCTCCAAATCTTATTTTCTCTGTTTCATGCAGGTAGAGAAACAGGTGAATGATGCAGTTTCCAAAGGAGCCACCATTGTGACAGGAGGGAAAAGGCACAGCTTTGGGAAAAACTTTTTCGAGCCAACCCTCCTTAGTAACGTCACCTCAAAAATGCTATGTTCTCAGGAAGAAACTTTTGGCCCCCTGGCACCAGTTATTAAGTAAGAGCGATGCTATTTCAAAGTGGACAAGGGAGACCAAGGAAAGTTTCTGGAGGGTGGGCTATCAGAGGTGGAGAGGGAGCAGTCACATTCCCACCACTGGGAGTGAGGTTGGACAATCCAAAGAAATGTAAAGGCTTTGTTTTTTAATTAAAAGTAGTCTTGGAGCTGTTCGAAGTACACTCTGTTTTTAACAAAAAGCAAAAAAAAAAATGAGGTGGCTGAGGGATTTGAGCTGTGAAAAGTATTAATCATTGTGATGAAAACTTGGGCCCTAGTACTCATAATTTTGGTTCAGTCTTCCTGGGGGAAAAAGAAAAGAAAATATGGTGTTGTCAAACAGATTAGCATGGGCAGAGTTTTTTCTTATTTTTCATTTCTAAATATCTTTTGTTTTGGCATGACTTCTGAATATGTCCCTGTCCACTTCCCTACCAGCCATCCCTTGTAACAAAGAATACAAAAAACTTCCTTTTTAGGAAGTTCAGCAAAACTAACACACACCAAGCCTGGCAGTATATGTAGTATTCTACATTCATAGTTTCCCATCTCTGCCAAGAGGGGAAGGAGGGAAAAGAAAAGAGAGATGGAAGGGGAGAGAGAGAAGGGTGCATTTTCTCATCACTTCTTCAAAGCCACGAGTTGTCATCATGTTTACACAGAGTTCAGTCTGGGTTGTTGTGGTGGTGGTAGTGATTGTTGTTAATTCCTTTCATTTTATATTGTTGAAGTCACTGTGCGTGTTGTCTTCCTGGTTCTGCTTATTTTTGTCTTCATCAGTTTATGGCAGACAATACCGTATTACCACAACAATAAATACCATACAGGTAATAAATGCCATGTAACAATACCATAGCTGGTGGATTGATCATAAGTGACTTCCCTAAGAGAGGACAGGTTGAACAAGCACATGAGTAAAAGGGATCAAAATAGTGGTAATGGAGATGAGTATAGAAAAAAGACAGCAAAGAACACCTGAGGCAGAAAGACAATGCTGAAGGAGCATGGGTGAAGACTCAGAGGGTGTTGGTTCAGCTCCTGACCTGTCCAAAATCACGTCTCTGGGGCATATAGTTTCCTGATGTGTGAAATGAAAACCTTAGTCTGGACTTGTGCAGTGTCTTCTAGTTCTAAATCTGTGAGCCAGAGAGCTCTTCAGATATTTGAAAGGATATTAGAGAAGATGGATTCAATTTGTGAAGGAAAGAAGGAAGGAATATGGAAGGAAGGAAGGAATGCAAGGAAATAAAGGAAGGAAATATTAATGCTCACTATGTGCCTGGCACCATGCTATGCCCATTACAAATATTAGGTAGGAAGTTCCCCATCACTAGGGTTCTTCAGATCAAAGTCAGATGCCCACTTGTCAGGATGTTGTAGTAGGAATTCTTGTCTGGATATGGATTAGAAGAGGTGTCCTCTAAGGTCCTTTCTAATTCTGAGACGATATGATCCTGTGAGCATTGTCAGGGGCACTATAGGAGGTACAGGGTGTTTCTCTACCAGTCACCCCCTCTTCCAGATAAACTGCTTATCTTCCTGTGATGTGCAGTATTATCAGGTAGATTAGCAGAAATGCTCATCTCTGTTCAGTAGGTTGACTTTGAGGCTTGTTGTTCCAGCCTAATTAGAGTTAAAGGAAGAGCAACACGTATTTGTAAACTGAAAAGAAGAATAATCTGCTCACTTTCCCTCCCTGTAATAATTTTCAATATAGTTTCTGATATATGCTGTAGTAGTGCAAAGAGCCCTGGAATTGGGAGTAGGAAGGCCTGGGCTCAAATTATGACTGCTAATTACCACTTGTATGAGCTTGAGCAAATCCCTTGCCTTCTCTGGGCCACACTTGCCTCATTTGTACAAAGAGAAGATTCATCTCCAAGGTCAATTCCAACTCTAAATCCTGTAATCTTCCTATCCTATTGGAGAAAAATCTTCCATTTAAAGTAGTCACCCCACCCTAGATATTAAATCTGTCCTTCAGAACTGAGAACCCAGAGAAGCCTTGCTGCCAAATGCCTACTTTGCAGAATGTTCAAAATTTGGGAAGTAAGGGGAAGAGGAAAGGGACAATCTTATTTGCCTATTTGGCTATGTCCTTTTTATACCAAAAAAAAATTTTTTTGGCAGATTTGATACAGAAGAAGAAGCCCTGGCTATCGCCAATGCAATGAATGTGGGTTTAGCAGGTAAGTTTGGAAGTCATTTTTGTTTGTTTGTTTGTTTGGTTTTGGTGGGTAAGAGTTGTTGGTAATATATTCAAGCTGGTGTTTCTTGAGCATCCAGTTCATCATTTCCCTTGATCTTTATATTGGTCTTTCAACTTTGTTCTGATTTATCACCAATAGCCCCACTGATTTTTTGTTATGTTTTTCAGTAGGGGTGATGGATTTGTGCTTCAGAATCCCTTCTTCTTGTTCTCCTTGTTACACATGTATGGAGTCCCCTAGCGAGGGTTAGGGGTGCAGTAAACTAAAGCTAACTAACCTGGATAGGAATCAGACCTGCCACTGTGACTTCTTTCCCACTCCAAACAGCAGAGGCACAGTACCTATTTAGACACCAAGTGTTTCTTCTGCCAATTTACTGACTGGAGGCATTTTTTAAAAAATCTTTTTCATTTACCTTAGTACTGTGAAACTCTTAATTTCATCAGTATGGGTACTACCTTCACTGAGGCAGATTGTAACCCCTGGAGGACATCAGTGAACCTCCATGCAAAAGTGTGTCTGTGTGAGTGTGTGTGTGTGTGTGTGTGTGTGTGTGTGTGTGTGTGTGTGTGTGTGTATGAATGTGAGTGTATATAAAATATGATTTTACATGCTGGAGTTTTTAAAACTGCTTCATATAAAAATCATTGAAGCCACTGCTTTGGAAGGATTTCCCATTCCTTCTGGCACCTATTGAATTAGAAATATAGCTTTGAAATGTTTTGGAACTGAACTGCACATAGCTTTTCTACTTGTCTGAAACTGGCCAAGGGAGGCAGAGAGTAGGAAAATATCTACTGGCATTTGCCAAGGTAAGTAGCCACCCTGTGTTTCTAACCTCGTTAAAGGCATATGTGAGTGTGTGAATGAATGAAGGAGTAATTTCATTGATTGAATGAATATGTATCTACTGCCTACTGTGTGTGCAGAACTATGGGAGAATAAAGAAAAGTGAGCTAATCCTTTCTCTTTAGAAATGCACCTAGTAGGTTTGTTGTACACCCAGTAGTACATAAGCTATAGAGATGGGGACTAGACCTGTGATTTCGTTGTCCTAAGTGGGGAGACTCCCTGTACCAATGCAGGTTGGCACCTTCTTTGAAACTTAGTCTGAGAGTTGCCTGGGGTCACACAGCCATGTTGCCTATACATAATGGCCATCATAAATAGACAGGTAATTACAGTACAAGGCATGACGTTTAAATGTGTGTTGTAAATGGTACAGACAGTAAGCCCAGGGGAGTTCAGGGGGAACAAGAGATCACTGAACTGAGATGATTAAGAGGGCTTCATGGTGAAGGTGGCAGGCATTTGAGCTGGACCTTGAAGGAAACAGGTAGTGTGGGTGAAGACAGGCATTCGCTTTGGGAGGAATTGTGTAACAAAGGCATGAGGAAGGAAACCACAAACTGCGCTAAGGGAACCTTTATTAGAACAGCTGGACTAGAGTGGAAGGTTTATATGAGGAAGTATAGCAAGAAATAAAACTTATAGAAAGCTTAGCTCAATGCCTGGCACACAGTAGCCATTTAATAAAGATTGGTTGAAAGAGAAGTTCTGCATTGTACACAGTTAACAGTAACATTGTGCAATGATTGACTGTGTTAGACTTCACTCTTCTCAGCAATGCAATGATCTGAGACAGGCCTCGTGAAAGGATTTGTTCTGTGAAGTTTGGATTCAGTCAAAGGGTGGCACTTGAGGACCTAAAGGGCCACATGTGGCCTTGAGGCTACAGGTTCCCCATCCATAATCTAAGTAACAAGTCCAGAAGACCAGTGATGGAAATTGCATCCACATCCAGAGAAAGAACTATGGATCTGAATGCAGATCGAAGCATACTATTTTCTCTTTTTTTGTTTCTTCTTCCTCGTGGTTTTTCCCTTTTGTTCTGATTCTTCTTTCACAACATGACTAACGTGGAAATATGTTTCATGGGATTGTACATGTATAACCTGTATCAAATTGCATGCCATCTTGGGAAGGGAGAAGGGAGAGATGGGGAAAAATTTAGAACTCAAAGTCTTATAAAAGTGAATGTTGAAAACTAAAAATCAATCAATTAAACTTTTAAAAAAGAAAGAGAAGTTCTAAGCAGTTTGTAGAAGGTTGTGAATGTCAATTAAAGGAGTTTGGCCACCAAGAGCCATGGAAAATTTGAGAGTGGGAAGATTACCTGATCAAAGCATTGCTTGAGGAAGATGAATCTGTGTATAGGATGGTTTGGGACAGAGGCAAGGGAGAAAGGCCTGGTGTCAGTAAGACCGATTTGGAGGCCATTGCAAAATAGTGGTATAAGACTAAGCTAGAATGGGGACAATAGAATAGAAAGAATATCAGTAACAGATGACATTTATCTAGTGCTTTAAACTTTGCAAAGCACTTGACATAGCCACAACAACCTTGTGAGGGTGCTGTAATTATCATCCCCATTTTACAGAAGAGGAAGCAGGCATGGAGATGACATGACTTGCTCAGGTTCACACACAGCTACTGAGTGTCTAAGGCAGTATTTAAACTCAGAATCTTCCTGATTGCAGGCCAAGCACTCTATCCACCATGCCATCTTAGTTACCTGAGATGACACAAAGGAAGAGTTGACCAGAATTGGTGACAGGCTGGATGGGCATAGGGGTGGGGGACAAGGAAAGAGAAGGATTCCTAGGTTTCAAGCCTTAGTGACTGAAGGAGTGATGAAGCCAGTAACAGAAGGAGGACAACTGGTTCAGGGCAAAGATAATGAGTGACCTTGGTTTTAAATATAATCTTATAATATATCAATATTCTTGTCCCTGTGGCAGGTTATTTTTACTCTCAGGATCCAGCCCAGATCTGGAGGGTGGCTGAGCAGCTAGAAGTTGGCATGGTTGGAGTTAACGAGGGATTGTTGTCCACGGTGGAATGCCCTTTTGGTGGGGTGAAGCAGTCTGGTCTTGGACGAGAAGGTTCAAAGTATGGTATTGATGAATATCTGGAACTGAAGTATGTGTGTTATGGTGGCTTATAGGAATCACCAGGTGTTCTGTAACTTAGGGGGAAAAAATCCCTCCCCAGATGTTAGAGAATGCCATCTAATATATTTTAAATAAATCTTTAGAGTCCTTATAAATGACCTATAAATGTGAATTTAAAAAGCCCTCATCCAGTCCCACATCATCTTGTGTGTTAGCTGATAGTGGTCCTCAGATTCTTGACAGGAACAAAAAGTGAAACCTGTAAGTGTCCTTCCTGCTTGTAGTATGCTGAGGCTGAGTTTCAGGTAGTGATTTCCAGCCTTACCACGGTGCTGCCACCTACTACTGAGAAGAGTTCAGCAAGAATGTCCCTCATGCTGTGGTTAGGAGTGGGTGGTTAGTACTGAAAGCACCAGAATAACCATACCATAAGCCCATTTGACCTCTAACAAGGTTCCATAGCATGGCGGGCCTCGGTGTGAGGAGGAAATGCCTTCTTGCACATTCTTGCTGCCTGGGCGTTGCAATTGAGGTGCAATCTGGTCTATTTTTAAAAACAGTTTGAAATAGTACAGGGTGCCTGTGTTTCTTTGTGGACAGAAGGAACATTTCCTCTCTTTTTCTATCTCTGGCTCACTTCTTAAAATTGAAGTCTACAATTTGTGTTTACTGAAAGGAAGAAAAAATTGTGTAGGCCGTTTCACGTCTTTTCCTTATTTAAGAAGTAAGCAGGGGACTGAAGCTGAGAACTGTGAGTTTGGAGAAGGAACTCCAGAGTGGACGTCGGGATACCTAGATTTAAGTATCTAAACTACTAATGTGCAGTTTTGGCAAACCATCATGTCCCTAGCCTTCAGTCATCTCATCTGCAAAATGGTGATACGTGCCTCTTCCTAATTCACAGGGATTAAAACTGTGCCCAGGCCTTCATAAAAAGAAAGTATCTATTTTGGAAAAATGAGAGTGCCATTTAAGTACAAGCTGTCATTATCATAGCTCATAGCCCTTTGCAGTTTGCAAATGGCTTTCTGGGCAAGGAACTAGAGGTAGGTGCCGCCATATTATTATCTCCATTTTACAGATGAGGAAACTGAGGTTAGAGCAGCTTATACATGATTATATTGTTGATAAGTAGTAAAGGTAGATTCCCTAACATATGGCCCAATGTTCATCCCACTACTCTAGGCTGCTTTTCTACTGTTTCGATCCTATTTTCATTATGATTATTACTGTTAATATCAGTGTCCCCAGTCAGCTCTACTCTTGGCACTTACATGTATGGTGGGGTGCGCTCACAGGAGCCCCTTAATACAGGATACTTTGTGTTAGTGACATCTGGCTAGCCCCACTCTGCGTCCAAGAGGACTGCCTTAAGTTTAGTCCTGTAGGAGACCAAGTGGTGGTCACCTATGGCAGTGGTGTCAAATTCAAATACAAACAGGAGGCCACTAAATCATACAAAACCACACATGATCATTGTCTTTGTTCCATTGTATTTGTGTTTGTTTTGTTAATTTTTGAAATTAATTTAATTTATTAATTTTTAAAATTAATTAAACTTGTTAATTTTGTTCATTTGTTTTGTTACTTCTCTATTACATTTTAATCTGGTTTGGGCAAGTGGCCTGCAGGCCAAGTGTTTGACACCTCTGAGCTATAGCCTTTTCTCCCAGTCCTACTTTAGAGGGGATTGTTTCTCTCTCCTCAAAAACAGAAACTCACATTAAACTTGAAAAAAGAGAAATAAATTGGTGGAGTGAGAAGAGCACTGAATATGGATTCAGGATCTGAATTTAAGTCTTGCCTCTGTTGCTTTGTGAGCTCAAGTAAATCACTTCACATCTGTGGGTTTTGTCATCCGCAAAGTGCTAGGATCGGACTAGAATAATCCTAGTCCATCATCTAGTCACTAAATGAATCTCGACGGTCCTGGTCAGTTCTAAATCCTGAGGACTGTGAACCTATGCAAGTTTTCCATAATTGAGCTTGGTGCTGTGGAGAATGAGTAACTGAGGCTTTTATGCCTCGTTGCACATCTGGTTGTTAAATTAATTGAAAATTTCATTGACCTTTGGTGCATTGCCTAATTTATAAGTGGTCATCAGATTGCATTGAATTAAGAACATGTCTTATTTCTTTTTTTTTTTAATTTTATTAATTTATTTTGATTTATCAACAATCACTTCCATATGCTTTCGAGTTTAAAAATTTTCTCCCCCTTCCTCCCCCCCACCCTCCCCAAGACAGCGCACCATCTGATGTAGGCTTTACATTTACATACCCATGAAACATATTTTCACATTAGTGAAGTTGTAAGTAAAAATTAAAACCAATAGGAGGAACCATCAGAAAGATGAAACAAAACTCAACAGAAGGTAAAAATGAGTGATAGTGATTCGACTTCCATAGTTCTTTCTTTGGATGTGGACAGCATTTTCCATCCGGAGGCCTCTGAAGATGTCTTAGATCCTCGTAATGCTGAGAAGGGTTCAGTTTAACAATATTAGTCATCGCATAACGTGGCTGTTATTGTGTACAGAGTCCTCTTGGTTCTGCTCACTTCACTCAGCATCAGACCGTATAAGTCTTTCCAGGTTTTTCTGAAGTCAGCCTGTTCATCATTTCTTATAGCACAATAGTATTCGATTACATTCATATACCACAACTTGCTCAGCCATTCCCCAGTTGATGGGCATCCTCTCAATTTCCAATTCTTTGCTGCCACAAAAAGAGCTGCTATGTATATTTTTGTACATGTGGGTCCTTTTCCCATTTGTTTGATCTCTTTGGGCTATAGCCCTAGAAGTGCTATTGCTGGATCAAAGGGTATGCACATTTTTGTAGCCCTTTGGGCATAGTTCCAAATTAGAACATATCTCATTTCTTGATGATACCTATGGGGCATACTTATTTCTCTTTCTTATCCGTTGTTGCAAACTGATATTTTGGAGAATGTTCTCTAACACTTAAGATTGGCCATCCCTCACTAAATAAAGAATGATAAAGTGTTTGATTTCTGAACTGATTCTCTGCTCTCCTCTTCTTATATTCTCTTGCACAAATTCCCCAAGACATCAAAAGGGAACTCTGGGTATAGGAGAGAGATAGGAATGAAGTAGAAATTAAGTACACAGCTCTTAAGGGAGGCTGTGCCTAAATAATCCTGAGCCTCTTATATGACCATATTTCTGAGCTCCATCTAATACTCAGCCCCTTATTCTTTCTCCTTAGTCCTCACTCCAAGGTGGGAATTAAAATTATCTTTATTGGTTATCAGAAAGTTCAGAAAAATCTTTGTATTTGTGTTAGCATCAGCTTTTCTTGAAACTGTTTTGTGTTTCACCCCATACCCTAACCATGCGGATCATATTCCTAGGCTTAAAAGAAAAAGAAATCATATTTAACTTCAGAATGACCTGCTGAGAACTTCTGCTACTAGTATCATATAGACAGTTCAGTGCTTCTTAAACTTCTTAAGCCCCATATGGGGCCGCAACCCACAGTTTAAGAAGCAGTGAAGGGGTTGTGAGTGGGCAAAGTTTAAGGAGCCCCATAAAGTGATGCATACACAGATAAATGTTGATACTATTCCATTTTAACATTTTTGGATGATCACATGTGAACTTCTCAAGGCCATTGTTGCCACTGTAGAAAACAACAAAATGAAAAATATTCTTTCATTTTTTAAAAAATCTAGAATCTTGGGGTTTGAAGAGCTTAGTATTATTGAACTTTTAAATGCCTAGGTAATTTTATCATGCAATGAACCCCATAAGGTTCAATAAAGTATATAAATTGAGACAACAGCCCCCATCATCATATCATTGATTAAATTTTACATGTGTTAATGAGAGAAAAAGATAACTAATTCTTCATTAAGATGGTATTAGGGGACATGTTGATTTGTTTCATTTGTTTGTACTTGTTACAAGAGAGGGAGTGGAAGGGTAACAGTAGAAAAAGAAAAAAGCATCAATAAAATATTTAAATAGGAAAAAAGATAGTATGGCAGAGTAGGAGGGAGGAGGATTTGTTTTCAGTGAACCTTTTTTTTTATCCTTCTAAGGCTGATGACTTGTCTGATAGATGAATCATTGTTTAAGCTCTTTTCCATCATTATGCAGAAGTTCAACATCCAGACTTAGAAGATCTTTTTTCCTTACTCATTTACCAAGTAATTACCTATACCTCTGTATAGATAATATCATGCTAGGCTACAGTGCAGTGAGCATTTGCCTAGGAGGTTTCCAACCATTGCCACATACCTAAAATGAAATTACCTAGAGATCAAGTCCATTGGCCTGAAGAAATGTTCCTCCATTTACTCCTAGTTATGTACTAGAGTCAGTTTGCTGCTGATATTTTGGTCAGATTGGGCTAGTTTTTAAAGTGTGATTTTTATCTTGGTTTTTTTTGAAAGATGTTTTTAGGCAAAAGTTGGTTTTTTGGGGGGGCAGGGGGAGAAGTTTATTTTGATGGAAACAGCCAAGGGAGAATAAAGTTCAGAAGCACAATGTAGTCCAATCTATTGTTCTGCTCTTGTTGTTTTAAAACTTGCCAAATGATCTCTCTGTAAGGGTGGGTCCCAGTGTTTTAATAATTTGTATGCAGCTAATTTTTAGATTATTTCCTGAAGATTTTTCCTAGTGTGATTTTTAATGTTAAACTTTGTGGGGGAAAAAATTGAAAGCAAGTATGTAATAGGAAATGTCCTTCAATCTTACTTTTGACTGTGTATACACAAGCTCATATATGTGAATTCTCATTCTTGTTCTCAGGGTATGTGTATGTGGCTTTATCAGTGTCTACTTTCCAGAGAATTAGATTTGTGTGTGCAGTTAATAAACATTCAATTTTAACAATAGTATTTCCTATTTCTGTGCTGGGACTGGTTTCTGTTTGTTTCTTCAGTCAGATTGTCTTTTTTTTTTCCATTTTTGTTTTTCATTAGGGACTAATTCTAATGTATGTCATTACCTTTTGGGATTTGGAGGTTGACTTGCCAAATGTCAGAGTTGATGAGTGATCTCCCCAAGTTCCCTTTCACCTTCCTTTTATTTATTCAGTCTCTTCTAGTAGAAAGGGGGTATGTTTATATCTTGACACTTGACTTTTTTCAGCCCCAGTAACTTTTTCTAAATGAATTTTTGGTAATATCTTTTTTAAAAAATTTAATATTTTATTTTTCCTCAGTTACATGTAAAAACAGTTTTTAACATTTGCTTTCAAAACTTTGAGTTCCAAATTCTCTCCCTCCCCATCCCACCACTGTTGAGAAGGCAAGCAATTTTATATAGGTCATACATGTGTAGTCATGCAAAACATATCCATACTAGTCATGTTGTAAAAGAAAACAAAAAAAACTCAAGGAAAATAAAGAAAGTAAAAAAGGTATGCTTCAATCTGCATTCAGACGCCATCAGTTCTTTCTCTGGGGATGGATAGTATTTTTGATCATAATTCCTTCAGAGTTGTCTTGGATTGCTGAGAATACTTAAGTCATTCTCAGCTGATCATCTTACTATATCGCTGTTACTTTGTACACAGTACATTTCACTTTGCATCAGCCCATGCAAGTCTTTCCAGGTTTTTCTGAGAGCATTCTGCTCATCATTTCTTATAGTTCAATAATATTTCATCATAATCACATACTACAACTTGTTCAGCCATTCCCCAATTGATGGGCATCCCCTCAATTTATAATTCTTTACCCCAGAAAACAGGTGCTATAAATATCTTTGTACATATAAATCCTTTTCCTTTTTATCTCTTTTGGGATACAGACCTAGTAGTGGTATTGCTGGATCAAAGAGTATACATG